TTTCTCTAGATCTCGAACGCCTGTGGTTCCTTTCCTTTTGTTCAGCAGCAGATCTGGAGTATCTTGGTTCACTTTCTGAAATTCTTTGATTCCCTTGAAAATGGTCACGATCTCTTGTTCTAAACTTAGTCCGGTCTTCATTTTTATCACGACCTCTTCTTCTATTATCTCTTTCCATCTCCATGTGTTCCCGTTGTGATGATGAGTGTCCATGCGAGCCTTTTATCGGGATGACCAATGGTTTTCCCGATCCTCGGCTAGCATTTAGAGTCTGCAAAGATCTCTTCTTTGATAATTCATGCGACAACAACGAACCAGATGTGAAAGGATTAGAAGCTGGGGTGGATGAGGAGTTATTGGTTGGAGGCGAAATTCTTTTGGTCCCGTTTTGAGTAATCCTTTGACCGTTCGATCCGTTGGACGACGGGACTGATGAGGCTTGGTGTGTTAATGTGGCGGATTTTTTGTTCCTCAAAGATTGCCTTGAAGTAATTAGGTACGGAGTCCCATCACTTCCACTGTCACCATCGCTATCACCATCACTATCCGATTCGGTCTCCTCTGAAGAATTACTTGATTCAGAGTCATCTTCGCTGTTCTCTTCTTCGACGTCCTCGCTATCGTCACTGCTCACAGCAATACTTGCGTGATTAAGTGAACTTGCGGGTGCAATAATATTATTCCTCGTCAAAGACTTGTAACGAAGCAAGTTCGAAGATGCATTAGACTTTAGATCCGAAGCAGAGATTGATGGCTTTACCTTTTTCATGGTGCCGTTTGTCGTATGCATGTTTACGTCTTTCTGCGGGGTAGATGACGATTTATTTACGTCAGAAATCAGATGTTCAATGTTGGATAGTGAATTTGATTTTCGATGCAAGGTAGTGGTGACAGTTCGCGGAGAAGCGGGATGCGATTTTCCGTCAGATAGACTAGACTCGTTCGGGTGACTAATCGTCGGGGAAGTAAGATTTTTTGGCGGTGAGGAAGGACGGGTTGTGGTGGTGGTTGAATTTTGAGAACGTTTTTTTTTTAAAGATAAATTAATTTTCGAAACCTCTTCTTGAAAATATTCGATAGAAAAAAGACCTGATTCATGTTTTGCATTTTTGGAATTTCTTTTATGGTTTTGTTGACCATCCGAATCATCACGTGCAAGATCCTGTATTTGATTATTGTGTGTGAATGCAGAGGCTGAAAGGAGAAATGACGCAAAGACAAATTGCATCTTACCGCCGTTAATTCTTCAACTGCCTGCTGCAATTGGTTGAACATTTTATCTAGGTTACTCATAGTTTTAATACACTGGGTTTTTTTTTTTTAGAATTCACAAAAGAGGAAAAGAACAAAATCCTGCGAGTTGACACCGCCCAATGTGTTGAATGAATGCAGTTGAATGCTAGAGAATGAGTGCAAGAAATTAACCTTGGATAAAGAATCCAAGCTTAATATTATGATGGCAGATTGAATTGATCCAACTTCAATAATTTTTTATATGGTAGTAGTGAATATCTGTGTGAAGGGGAAACTGGACGAAAAAGACAAAGGAAAGGTTGTACGGTATCAGAAAAAAAAAAAAAAAATTTTTTTTCCAATTTAATTTATACGTATAAATTGTTCTTCATTGGAAAATAAGGTAACCACATAGATTAATAAATAAGTCATGCAGCCAAACATTTAAATCCTTTTGATTTATATAAAATTCCAATCGTACTACTGAGAATACGGAGAACAATGGTTACAAATTTATGTTTGTGAAACATTCGTTCCATGTATTCGAATTCGGACCTGAAATTCGTACTGTACAATACATACATACATACGCAACCAACCTTTTCGGTTGCACCAATTAGATTCGTGTAACGGCAAATCGATGACACATGTGGCCGTTAGGTGAGATTCCACTATGTAGAAGAATGATACACACCTGACTTTCAATTACATAAAATAACATCTAGAACGTTCTTATGAATCTATATTGCCGTTACAATATACAATATACAATATATGCTGTATGTAAATATATTTTTTTCGATGATTAGAATGCCTTTGTTTTGAGAATAATATTCCAATTTTCTCATTTCAGCCGCCAAGAAGGTTTAGCTGTAACCAGTAGCAACACAACCTCGGTCGCGAGTTTCTCACGTGTGTCTCTTCTTCCTGAGATGCGTCACATCTCACCTCAACGTCAAAATTTATTTGGAAACACAACCAATGGAAATCATGTTTGAAATAGGGTAATAAAATACATGTCACCTCCACGGAAAGTCTTAAACTATTGCCCAAAACGGCTCTATCCTCTCTCAGCGGGAAACACAAGATTTAGATTTGATAAAGCCCTTAATGAAAAACTGTGATGGCGTTTTATTTATGTTGTCATCACATTACGTCTGTACGCACATACATACGTTGGATCTTTACTAATTTCATCCGACACTTTATGTAAGAATTGCTGACTGTTAGTCACCAGCAACGTACAATCTACTCAATAAGTCAGCACCCGACTTTTTCTATAGTTTGTGGGCAGATCCGGTGTCACTTTTCAGGATGACTATACGTGCACGAAAATTAAAATAATGCGTGATTGGTATTCCGTTTATAATATTTGTTTGTTGTGTGATTGTTTTATTTCCAATTATTATACGGTCATTCGTTCCGAAAAAAAAATAACGCGTTCGTTCACATAATGAATCAGTCGATAATCAACCATATGCTGTATGACCAAGGCCTTCTTTTTGTTTTTAATCTTAATAAAGAAAAAACTTTTTGATATAACGAAATACAAGGAGCTAAGGGAAAAAAAAAAAGCTCTTATTCACATCTAATATTAGACTTATAGGATCGATTGCGTAATGCAAAGCGTTATGTTTACAATTACAGTATAAGCTCTCGCATAATATTTTAAGAAAGGTTATTGTTGTTCATCACCTCGATGCCGTGTGACTCGAATCGTGGATTTTAAATTAATCTCGATTGTAATAATTACGAAATTCTAATAATAATTAATTAATTAAAATTTTATTATACAAATACTGTAAAATTTCTATGCTATCGATTGTCATAATAGTTTTGTAGGGATTTAAAAAGATCAATCAAGATTTACTGTATCAAGATAATTAAATTTAAAAATTTTAATTTGTAAAATTTTTATTAAATAATAAATGTATACAATATAATAGATAATCAATGAATACATCAAAGTAATATATTTATTATATTATAATTTTTTTTTAGCTTATAATGTTATCACGATTTATCTTTATTATATATGTAATATCATAATAAAAATAATTTCTAATATTATTGAATAGTTATTTTTAACTATTCTTCATCATTCTTTGATATTTTAATAACAAATATTACTTTATCAAATATAAATTTAATTTATATATCTTATTTTAATTTACAATCAGATTAATATGTCCTGGCTTTCTTATATATTTTATTATATATTTACAAATAATATAATTTACTATATATATGTATAATATGATTAAATTTATATTTAATCATATATTTAAGTGAAATTGTTTTTTAAAAAAATATTTTATTAAAAAAAAATCTAGAAACAATTTATTTTATAAAGAAATAATTAAAAAAAGATTGATCTAAAATTTTTTAAACAATATTATACAATATTTCACAAGAAATATAATTTGTTTGAAATTTTAATTTATTAATAAATCAAGAAAAAAATAATAATTTTATTAGTTTTAATATCAATAAAAAATATTCTATCTTCAAAAAATCAAATAAAATCATGTTTATAATTTTATTCTTTTTTTTTTTTTTTTTAACCCATAGTTAGGTCAGTATAATATTTACAAAATATTTTGACTTTTATATACTAACTCACTTGTTAAAAAAAATAAAAAACTCTTTTCGTTGATTCTCTGACTATATACAAAAAAAGATGTTTGCAAGAAGTTTTATACTTCCTTGCTAATAAAGTCTTTATATTTTTATTAAAACAACTTGAAGCTTGTCTTTATATATCTTCTCTACCCTTCCTTACTTATTTGTAAACTTCTTTGAATAAAAACTTGAGCCTCTAATGATATAAAAAGACTCAAGTACGCACTTCCTCTACTAAGGCAAAAAAGGTTCTAGCAAGTAAAAAGACTGACAAGTGAAGTGTCACCTCACAGAGTCAAAAGTGACAAGAAATAGAAGTTCTGTTGACAGGAGAAGACTTATTTTCCACCTTCTCACATACTGTCTTAAACCCTCTTAAAGTACTTACTGGTTTTCACGGTTTTCTTGAGGGATTTTGCCTATCTCAGTTTGACCCTGAATTTTTAATAACACAACATCACTAGGCATCTGATTGGTTAACACAAAATATGTTAGTAACTGAATTAAACAAGTTCCTATTGATCACCCCACATGTTCTGATGACATCATTGATAATAAAGAGAAATCAAGAATACGAACTCCTCCACTCCTCCAAATGAAGTTTAACTGAAGCAAAGAAATCATGAAACCATTAGGATGGGCAATAAATTCCCTAGGTGGTGAAAAGATGATTATTTGTTCAAGTCGAGACCTTCAACTTCTTATCATCCCTGCATAGAACAAAACGACTAATGGTGAACCCCAGATTCTTATGTGGCTTTTCAATCTTGTTGTGTAA